CAGCCGCTGAAGTGGCACTTGGCGAAAATGGGAGCTCGGGTCGGCGGAGTTGAAAGGATGCAGCGGTGCAAACAATGTGGCAGCAAGGACCCTAGGCCTAGTCGCGGTAGTTTTATCCATTCTGAAACTGCAACTGACCACAGCAGCCAGGGCGACTCGAGAAAAATCTGGGCGAAAACAGAAAAAAGAAGTGTATTCCCCAGGTTACCAAGAGTCGTTTTCCCTTGGACCAAGCCTCTTGAGAAATAACGCTTAGCTTCTGTTTTACTCTTGCTTTATATATTTTTCTGGCATTTGGCTTGGAGTTTTCCCCCAACCCCTCTTCAGTCCCAAGTTGTTTTCCCCACTCACATTTTTTTGTTTTTAGCTGGTAAAGTCTATTATGCTTGCGAAAATTGCTTTACAGCTGCAAAACAATGCGGCAAAAAAGGTTACACAGCACAAAAAGAAATGCACACAAAAATGAATAATGACAGCGAACTGGAGGGAATGGCCTAGAGATTACTTTTAACTCCGTTTTGGCTTTCACTGATGAAGTGGTGGTCACTGAATGCTCTTTCCTTGATGTGGAATCTGTTCTGTTAACCGATTTGGGTTTTATTTTATGGAACCTTTATGGAAATAATTACTTAAAATTTAGTAAATCTAAATAAAGTATCTTAAAGCTCTATAAAAAAGGGGAAAATCTATTTCTAATGTAATCATTAAACCCCATCAAGAGTTAGAGTATTAAAAGGGAATTTACTATCAAAGTCTCTGAGCAGGAGAAGTGGAATAATATTTGCTTCAACCTCCGGACGGTCGAAGACGGGAAAATCGGGCGGATGGTTAGGGGAAGGGAAGGAAGTGCAGCTAAAATAATTCGCGCATAATGAAGCCGGAAGTGTGAATGCAAAGAATACAAGAAAGTGGAAGCAAAAGAACTTCATTATCAGCGGCAAGCAGATAGGGAAGTAGTCGGGCTCCTTCTCCAGGTCCTGCTCCAGGTCCTGTTTCTGCTCCTGCTCCAGCTTAGCGAAGGCATTCAAGCAGCGAAAATTACACAAAAAATCTTTTTGCCAGGATTTTCTAATTAAAGTTTCAGCAAACGGAACGCGGCGCCAAAGTGAAATTAATGGGGGAGCTGCCATTTTGGCCAGCCAGGCTTTTACCATTTTCCTACCACCCCCTTCCCCCAAAAATTTCCCGACTTACAAATGTGTGTGTGTTTGCGTGGCTTTATGAAGTCAACGATGGCAGCATTTTCGGCCACTTAATCTGTTCTCTCACTCGAACTCAGCTCTTCCCTGTGTGTGCGTAATTTATTTGCAATCAATGCCGCCTGAAAGGACATTATTTTTACATTAAAGCAAAGGCTAAAAGCTCTGTGTATGTGTGTCTGAGAGGGAATGGGATGGAGAAGGAGACTTCCAAAAGTTGGCCAAAAATCTCTGCCAAAAACAAAGCCAGCTAACATTTGGCAGCTGTCACATAATACGTCTTACACCGCGCAGGCATAAATAATCAGAGTGGACTTGTAAGGACAATAAAAAAGAATAGTAACTTCGGGAAGCCAAAGTTTATATCACCTTGAATTAACTTAAATTATTCACATTCTTTGAATCTATAATTTTCCGTATCCGCACACTCAATTTAAGAATTTAAGAAATTCAATTTTTGTCAATTTTTCTTTGAAGCGATAATTTTCAATATTTTTATAAGATAAAACAAAGTTTAAAAACTCATTACTAAGCCAAAAATGCATCGATTTCAATTCAGAAATCGTTCCTTATAAGTTTTTATTAGGTTAACAATTTTTTTTAATTGAATATATGTTGAAAAATTGTTTTCTTGCAGGAGATAGCAAGATCGATGCTGATCTAGAATATATAAGATTTATAAGGTCGGAAATGCCTCCTTGACATCGTAACAAGCTTCATATTCAAATTCCTATACTCTGCAAGGGTATGAAAATGGAGCTAAAAACAGTTCTTCTATAAGTTTATTAAAAACTATATACTCATAAAGATATAACTAACGAATAAAAAAAAATTGAGCCTTACTTATTTGATCGTTTTATTGAAAATAAAATAGTTTTTAAGATTAAACAATGTTTAAAGACTTTCAACTAAAGACTTACTTGATCTTAGGAATTTTATATAAGGAATTTTTAGCGTATTGTCAATGCAAATATATACACATTATATTTTCCCAAGTGTAACATTATCTCTCTGGAGCTTGGATAAACTATTTCGTGGGAATCGTCAGTGACATGTGAGATCTTACATTTGTGAGCTGTCATTTTTGGAGAAGGAGAGAGCATAGCACCGAGCTTTCCGTTAATGCGAGTTTCATTAGGCAGAACGCTGCCCGAACCCCACCATCCCATCCCATCCCTTTACCTTTTCACATACTCCACTGTGGCCATTGCTCCTGAGCTTGTCTCCATGTGTAGGTTTTCCGAGCCAACGCAAATCTCCAGGGAAAGTTTCTCGAACTCCGGGCACGTATCGTGTGTCATAAGCAGGAAAAGCGGCTTTCGGGAGAGGCGACTGACTGCAGCGGACACTGCAGAGCTGTGCAAGTTGGAAATAAAATTATTAACCCCGCTGCAATGCAACATAAATAGGATTAGTGTCTGCAGAAGAACAAACATACGACTTGCGAGCGAAAGAAGGAGCGAAGCGACAGGGAAGGAGCCCAAGAAAAAGCGCCACACAACAAAGGCAGCCAGCAACATTTGCATTTGCATGTTGCATACTTCACGGCGCAGTGCTCACATATGATAAACGGCAACGACAATGCCACAACCACAGACACGAACTCACACAGACACACACAGACACTGACTCGCTCTGGCACTCACACTGCGGCATTCCCATTTCCCTTTTTGCAGTATCTGCTTCGTTGTTATACCCATTATAATGGCAAAGAATTAGGGGTATGTTTGATTTATGGTAATATGTTTTCATATAAGATAAGGAGATAAAAAATGCCTGAAGGAACTGTCTGTCCCTCTACTAATTACTTCACCCTACATAACCATTAGTCCTTCAATCTGTATAGTTTCCTTATTATTATTAAGAATATATATTGGGTATCCATAGGTCGACTTAGGCCTTCTTGGCACTCGCTTTCTCTTTGTTTTGGCTGGGCAAAAATGCAGCTGAGTATTTTTCAGCAACATGCAAAAACTCCATTTCATTTCTGCGGCTGTCGTCCAGTGTATTGACCCCTAAACGCCCTCCACACAAACGTGCTCACACAGACACACACAAACACATACAGTTGCATTAGTGACAAAGCCATTCCAGTCAAAACCCATACCCCAACCCGTACTTCCCTTCGACACCATCGCGGTTTTTGTAAGCATTTTGTTTGCTTTGTGGCTTCCGGTTTCTGTTACTATTTTCTGTTTCTGATATTCTTCCATTTCCACATTAAAAATATTCCCTAACAAATGCTCTACGTTGCCCAAAAGTCAAGGCCCGCGAGCACAACTCAGTGTTTGCTCAATCGTCCAATTTAAATTAAATATATGTGAGGTATTAATGTATAATTAAGCCGTCAATCGATCGACCTGGCCAAAAGGCATTTGTATGAGCGCCATTCGAAATGGAAACGGGGGGACTCGATTGAAATGCCAGAGGCCAGTCAGCGATGCGATTTTCCCGTGTGAAAACCGAGAAAAGCTCTGCCATCAATTGAATTCCGTGGGTGATTTTCTTGTTTTTCGTATACTGAGAAATTCAATTCGGTTTAATTCGTGGCACTTTTTAGTTGATACATTTCGCTGGCCGTATAGTATTTGTGTTCAATGAAAAATGGGAAAAACTTATCTTTAAAGATGTTAAATTATGTCCAGATAACAATTTTTGAAACAATTTTTAATAAGTTAAATAAGAAAACACACATTTCCATTTAGTTTTATTTAATTCCATACATATCCACAGGATTACCTTTTCATAATATGGTACTTAACACATTTATAGTTTTTTCCCCCCATTTTCAACACTTAATTTCCTTTTTAATTTTTAGTTTAATTAAAAGTAACGACATTCGGTACGGACCGGGCATCAGGTGGCAATGGAAGGAGAGACCGAGATTTAAGCTTTGCCAGCCATGCGGTTTTGGGCTTGAAAAATTAACGCGGAAATGCCAAAATGTTGAGCATACGCCCCGTTGACTGCATGCAAATTTCATATATTAAGCCACGCCGAGGGCGGCGGCATCGCGACGAGGGGCAACTAGTTGTTTTTGGTTTGGTTGCATGGTCGAGGGCCATAATTGCAACATGCCGCACAAACATACATACTGACATACACACATGCCACTCAGTGGACGACGACTTGGGACCTTAGCCAAGTCAAACAAACCGCGGGGCATAGCCAAAAAAAAGAAAATACAAATAAAAAGTAGAAAAAAACGGAAAAAATGGCAGGCAAAAAGGGAAAACTAAGGAAAGCCAAAATTTGTAGTTGTACTTTAGGGTTTGCCAGGGGCGAAAGGAATGAGGAAAACTCTTATGGCTTTGTGGGTCTCCTGGCAGAGTGTTGTTATGACTTAATGTGGGCCCAGTGACGGTTGTGATGGAAATGCACTTGGAAAAATATGTTTTTCTTAACAAATATGAAGTTTAATAGTTGCTGAACTAAATAGTTTTTTATATATATTATACATTTTATGTTTTATTCAAAGTTAAGTATTGTTTTATGTGCTTAGTTAGTTATCCTTAGTTATTAGATTTTGATATGTTGAAAAAAAATAGACTGCTAGTTTTTTTCTTTTGTTATTTTTTTGTATACATTGTTGTTATATCCCATCATATTAATTATATTTTTCCCTCAGTGGAAACAATAGAATATATAAAGTGGCTTCCTCGAACCCATTAAACTGTCCGCAGTTCTGAGTTTACGACAACCGCACTAACTTTTGCCCCATCTCTCCGCTCTCTCTCTCTCCCTCTATGTTTTAGGCCTGAGGCGGACCATCAGCCGGAACTATTCCCGTTCGAGTATGCAATGGCAGCGGGAGGGGCGACGCTGGAGAGCCCGGCTGCGCCAGGACATTGCCAGGACATAGCCAGCGACAATAGCGCCCAGCGCCTTACGCTTGCCACAAAGGTGCGGCGAAAAGGCCCGCGTCCACAGCGTCCCCAGCGGCGCCTGCACCCGCCCCTGATCCCGCGTCTGCGCCAGATCCTGCCGCTGCCGCACCTGCTCTGGCTGCTGTGCTGCTGCTCCTGGCTGGGCCAGATGGGCCAGCTGCGAGCCGAGTGCCCGGCGGTGTGCGAGTGCAAGTGGAAGAGCGGCAAGGAGTCCGTCTTGTGCCTTAACGCCAACCTTACACATATCCCCCTGCCGCTGGACGCGGGCACCCAGCTGCTGGACCTCAGCGGCAACGAGATCCAGTCGATACCCGACGACAGCTTTGCGGCCGCCCAGCTGCTTAACCTGCAGAAGGTGTACCTGGCCAGGTGTCACCTGCGTCTCATAGAGCGGCATGCGTTCCGCAAGCTGATCAACCTGGTGGAGCTCGATCTCAGCCAGAACCAGCTGACGGCCATACCCTCGCTGGCCCTCTATCACGTCTCGGAGCTGAGGGAGCTGCGACTGAGCGGGAATCCCATTCTCCGTGTGCCGGACGATGCCTTCGGCCATGTGCCGCAACTGGTGAAGCTGGAGCTGAGCGACTGCCGGCTGTCGCACATAGCAGTGCGCGCCTTTGCCGGGCTGGAGAGCAGCCTGGAGTGGCTGAAGCTGGACGGGAATCGGCTGAGCGAGGTCAGGAGTGGCACCATCACCTCGCTGGCCTCCCTGCACGGTCTGGAGCTGGCCCGCAATGCGTGGAACTGCAGCTGTTCCCTGCGCCCACTGCGAGCCTGGATGCTGCAGCAGAATATTCCCAGTGGCATACCGCCCACCTGTGAGTCACCGCCACGACTCTCGGGCCGGGCTTGGGACAAGCTCGATGTGGATGACTTTGCCTGCGTGCCGCAGATCGTGGCCACGGACACCACAGCCCACGGAGTGGAGGGCAGGAACATCACCATGAGCTGCTATGTGGAGGGAGTCCCCAGCCGGCGGTTAAGTGGCTGCTAAAGAATCGCCTCATAGCTAACTTGAGTGCTGGAGGAGATGGTGACTCCGATTCAGAGCCCCGGACAGCGGCAGCCACGCAGGGCAGGAAGACCTACGTTGTCAATATGCTAAGGAATGCCTCGAACCTGACCATTCTCACGGCGGATATGCAGGATGCTGGTATCTACACATGTGCCGCGGAGAACAAGGCCGGCAAAGTGGAGGCCAGTGTCACATTGGCTGTGTCCCGAAGGCCACCGGAAGCGCCCTGGGGTGTAAGGATTGTGCTCCTCGGAGCCATTGCGGCCCTACTCCTGGTCGGCGGATCCTCCTTTGCGGCCATCTGCCTGTGTTCCCTGCAACGACGCCGGAAACTGCGACTCTGGAACTCGGTGCCACCGGTGCGACGGAGTGAGAGCTACGAGAAGATCGAGATGACCGCCAGGACGAGGCCAGACCTGGGCGGCGGGGCCAGCTGTGGAGGTGGCAGCGCCACGGGCGCTGGTCTCTTCCAGGATGCCGAGGAGCAGGGCTACCTACGGGCGGCCCACACTCCGCTGAACGACAACGATGCGGGTCAGGTGGCGGCCATTGTGAATCCGAGTGCGGGAAGTGCTCAGCGAAGGAACGGGGACTATCTGCACGTGTCTACGCACTGCGACGACGAGGAGGAGGAGCAACAGCATCATCACTCAGTGCAGCAGCAGCAGCAGCTGCAGCTGCAGCAGGGCCAGCATCCGCACCACCCACATCCCAGCCAGCCGCAGCCGAGGAAAAGCTCCCAGGGACATGTTGCCTCCGCATCCGGAGCGAATAACTCAGTGCCGCTGGAGGAAACGGATCTGCACATACCGCGCCTCATCGACATCGGCGGGTGAGTTGAGATACACTGGGGGAAAAGTCCTTAACATTGATTTAACTATAACTATAAAGGAAGAAAGGGAAATTTCAATACCCTAGAGAGGAAAATCCATCATAACTGAGTCAAACATTCTTTATTGTTCTTTAATTCTTAAGAAAATCTAAACTTTTGTTGAGCATTCCACTTAATCTAAAGTGAATACAGAAGAGCTACCTGATATGCACGTATATATTTTCATTTGTTCAATATATCCCTTCTTTTGGCCAGTGCACAACCGGTTGGCCCCTCCGGGCGCCCTTTGTTTCTGCGGTTCTCGTTACTTCGAGTGGCAATTGTCCCCCGACCGGGTGTCCGTGTCCCTGTCAAAGAGCTGTCATGCTCGAGTGCGGAACGCGCCCGGATCTCCGTATTGCGTCCGTATTATGGGCAACACTTGACACTTCCACTTTGAGCACGAGTGTGGGCCTACGGTCGGTCCTCCTACGAACCAACCAGCCAACCAACCCACACCTCGTTCTACCTCCATTCGCTGGCAGCTTCTCCTCCTGCTCGGCCAGAGAAAACGCGCGTGCTAATGACGCGCGAAATATGCGAGCACATCCAACATCCCACATCCACATCCTGCCCGAAAAGTGCTTTATTTTGGGCACACGAAGGACTCACTCTGCCTGATTGGCGCTTGTCATGTAAAAGGGGGGAAGTCCTGCCGCGTATACGAGTGCGAGGCTAATGGATGCGTCGCCGGTTATCTTCATGGACGAGGACACTGCCGGCCGAATAACGAGAATCTGAAAAGTCAAGCACTCAAGGCACATAGCAATCCGTGGTATTTATACATGAGGGGGGCCACCGTCAAAGAAACATTCCGCAATCATGAATATTCTTTATGAAACCAGGATATACCGAAAAGCCATGTCAATGGGTCAGGCTTTTAGGCCTCAGTTCAGACATTACAAGGCTTATATTCATTAAAATTTCAATTTATTTATACAACGTACAATTTAATTACTTAATTAATGTATATATTAATTTTTTTTCTCTTTTCCAGCACCGATTCTGCGTCCAGTTCTATATCCAGCCAGGTGGATGCCGCTGCTCGCCTAGCGGGCTATGCGGGACACAGCTGGAAGACCACACCCATTGCCACCACGAAGATCAATTCACCGCATAGCAAGCCAGTCAATTCGGCAACTTCGTCATCTCTAAATCCTGGCGGCTCCGCGTCGCCCTACTCGCACTATGGCAACCATCCAGCGGATGAGATGGCCACCTCGGTGTTCTGCAGCGAGGGCCAGGAGAGTGATCTCTTCGACAGCAACTATCCGGATCTGCTGGACATTGCCAAGTATGCGGTGGCACAGGCTCAGCAACAGGGACAAGGCGCCGCTCCTACCCTGAACGGGGGATTGTGCACTCTGCCACGAAAGCTGAAGACCAGCGGGAAGTACTTCCGCAACTCCTCGGACAGTCAGTCACCACTGCTGGCGGACAACTCGAGCAAGTATGGGAGCAGCACGCTGGGCGATGGCAGCTTCCTCAACGAGGCCATGGGCCTGGGCAGGCGCTACTCGGCGGAGTCCAGCTATGCGAACTACTCCAGCACGGCGACATACACGGGCGGCGGTCAGAGGTCCAACAGTTTCCTCAATCTGGTGCAGAGTGGCGCCCACAAAGGCAACCTGCTGCCGGGTCACAAGCTCGGACAAAAGCCCAGCTTGCCTTCGAGTCCCGTGCAGCATCAGAGATCCCTGTCCAGTGCGGCCACGCCCCTCTTGGATTTCTCTGCCTTGGCATCTCGAGCTGCCGGGGCAGCCAACTCCTCGGTGGCCGCCTATGACTATCATGCCGCGCAGTTGGAACGCTTCCTCGAGGAGTACCGCAACCTGCAGGATCAGCTGTGCAAGATGAAGGAGACCTGTGACACCATACGCAAAAAGGAGACACCTCTGCGTGTGGCCATTGGCCAGTCAGCGGCCCAACTGGCCGATCCCGTGATGTACAGTGCAGCCTCGCACAGCCCAAAGCCTCCGCCGGCGACGAGTAATCTCAAGGCAAAGACCCTGTTGCCAGGACAACCGCCAGATCCGCCGCCCTATTGGCTGCATCGGAATGCCATGTTGAAGCGACTGAATGGGGATGGCGGAGGAGCAAATGGAGCAGGTGGATCACCCGCCTCTCCGCAGCCCGGTCAGGACATCTTCAAGAGCTAATCGAAATCGTGTACAGCCGCAGGATCAAAGGATGCAGTGAAGGGAGAAGGAGGAAATTCTCCTGACTTCGGCCAGCCGAAGAGGACATGAGCTTGTCGGCAAAGGAATTTATTTATACCCAAAAGGGAAGACTCCTGAGGATTTAAAGTTGTTTCTACACAAAAAATATATAGATCAAGTTTGAAAAATATTTATTTCTAATCAAATTTGATTTTATATTACAAATATTATTAACATTAAAATACAAATAATTTCTATACACTGCCATTAACCCTATAGTAAAGTCCGTGCAAGCTCAAGGTCCTTGATCGAGAAATGCATTTGTCTGGATAGTTAGTTAGGGTTAGTTAGCTGGAGGACACTCAACTGGTTCATAGCCCAGACCCTCTGTTGTATTATAGAAACACTTTTCCACTCTTTATACTCGCTACGCATTATTCAACACAAACTACATAAAAACCCAAAAAGCATAAAACATTGTAAGTGTATAGACAGCAATCCCTTTAGAACAAGTAAAAACCAAAGGATACACTATCTCGATCACACCTATCTGAAACCTAATCCTAGTCATAGAACCCTCCAAAAAAAAAAAAACTCTCGTGTTAGTCTAACTACAAGTGTTTTGTACTTTAAGCGATCTCAATATAAACAAGGATAATATAGATGACCTTAAATACGATTACGAGTAACATAAGTTTGAGTTGGCACAGACTGCAGGATGGATCAATCGTTAGACGTTCGTTTTTCAGTTTTCAGTTCGCAAATTGTAAACCAATTAGATCCAAAAACTCAATTCAGTCGATTGCGAAATTGTAATTTAAAACGATGACAAAACCAAACGAAAAAAATATACTTTAGGGTGTCACTAAACTAAAGCTCGAAAAACATTTCACCCAGCAACAAGAACAAGCAAAAATAAATTAGTTGAGAATTGAAAGAAAACAAAAAAAAAAAAAGAAAAAGCACCCAGCGCGTTTTAATGGTTCGAATGGAGCTATTTTTTCCGGGACTCAATCGAGGGGCGTGCAAATGTCCACTTCCGGTCCCTGGCTTTCCGGGGAGGAAGGGTTGAAGGGCAAGTAATTGTCGCTTGTCGTGTAACGCTCCCAGTGAACAGTGAACAGTGGGCAGTGACCACTGGCCAAGATTAAACAATAATTTCAGACCATAAAAACTCAGTGGAACGTGGGCGTGGCAGGATACTCCCCTCAGCTCATAGAGAAACTGCGGCAATTGGTTCGACGGCGGCGCACATTTCTTTTATTTTCGCCTCGCATTCCGGCTGCCAAATGAAGTTGTAAAATGCAAATGAAGCCGTCGCCGTAGTCACATGCGCGTTAAAGTTCATGTTCGATGTGATGTCGCCATAAAGCAGGATTAAAACGAATTTATGAACCTTTGGCACGGTACTGGGAGAACGACGACATGATAGCCATTTTATGCCTTATGCCCCCATATCCTTCGCACACACACACACAATGTCGCAGGAGCTTGACATTGTCTTTGGGCCGCAGGCATTTCAATGAAAAACGTTGCCTACTTTCTGGGGCCATTCGGGAAACATTGTGTAAAATGGAAATCGCCTCTGCGCCCAACGAATCTGAGTCGATACTGAACTCCACTCCACCCCTGTGGTCTGGGCCACATCAATAGCTCATTTGTGCCCCGTGCATAATCTCATAAATATTTAAGACAGGTCCTAAAAACCTACCCAAGTTGTAAATATTTTAAGAACGCCGCCAAGTCAGGAATTTAAATCAAAATAAATCTTGGTGTCTGTTTGCAATTTTTTGAGATTTTTATTTACATTTTGTGTAGCATTTTAGAGGTGTTAAGGTATACTATTATATTATTATTTTAAGCTCTGGAAATACTTTGCCCTCATTTTATCAGCTAATGCCCCTTGATGATCTCAATTTCGTTCCGTTTGCTTTGATTTATACAGGAATAACATGTAATTAAGCAATGACAACTGGCTGATAAAGACTCCCACTGAGTGGCTTATGAATTTATAGCACGCAGGCGTTTCAGAGGCCACTGAAAATTCAAGGGAACTCCATTTGGTGAGTTGGAGTTACTTACTGTTAACGTGGACCATGGCTTGCGGTTTGTCGGCTTTAAAGACGAAAAACCATTTACATTCACCGCATACAACCTCCTTACCTTCTGTCCAGCTAAAGCGAAAATAATGAGCCCGATGCTGGGATCTCGGTGTGAAGCCAAGTAAAGAGCAGCAACGTCGAGAGCAGTCGAGTTCATGTCAAGCTGTCAGTCAAGGTCGATTTCGTTTCCCCAGTTGCCTTCCTGCAACCTTTCACCTGCAGTCCACCGCCCATTGCCCATTGCCACCCACTGTCCTGCCTTGCACCTGTCAGTGGCAGAAGGTACGAAGGACGAAGGACAAGGGATTGGCGAGATGGGAGAGGCGGCAAGTGCCTTTTTGTCACTGTCTTGCGGCTGCTAGTGCAATTTTTATATATGTGGCTAGGGCAGGGTATTAGGGATATATACGTGACTTTGTAGAAGGTAATTTTATTTCTAAAGCACTGTTAAAATTTAAATAAGAAAATCCTCCAGTACTGTATAAATGCCATGAAATATGTATATATATTAATATATATATATACACTTTTCTATTCTCCGGAAAACAGGCAATATAATTCTCCTATAAATTTATTTAATATTAACAATTTCTTCAAGTGCCTACAGTTCGCTTGATTTTCCCTCCGTGTTTTAGCCGAGACGATGAAGGACATTTAAGCTGAGTACCAACTAGTTGACTCCTTGGGCTGATAAAGTGATGAGCGGAGCTAACAGAGCAATGTGTGTTATGTGTATGTGCCCAGGGAATTTTTCCATCATTATCAGTGTCCTTGTAGCCGCTTCCACATGCCACTTAATGCCAACGCAGCAGCGGTGCTCCGGCCTCTCGTTCCACTTTCGTCCTTCCCGTCGTCCTGCCAGTCGTCGTCGTCCTCGTCGTCATCTTGGCGGCCTTTGTGGTGGCATGGCACAATTGCATACCACCCAACGCCCAAAGCCACCCCGCCGCACCATCCTTCATGCCTCCCTCAACGACCATTATATTCAAGCATTTTCGTGGCATAAGTTGGCACTTTAGCGCCAGGCAGCTGCTACCTGTTTCAGTTTTTCACTTTTCCAGCTCCTCTCGCGTTTTCTCTTTTTTTGATGCTGCTTTGTTTATTTTAAGCTAGCATCACATTGTGGCAAATTCCAAACTGATGACAAACAACGAAGAAAAATAATCTCATTATTTGAAATATTTATCAATAAATTTATATGACAATTTTTAAGACAAATCAAAGTTTAAATAACTCACAACTAAGCAAAAAAACCATAAATTTCAAATCGGACAGCAGTTTTAATTAATTTAAAGCAAATTATTAAAACTGACTTCTCAATTTAAAATGTTTAAATATAATAATATAATAATATATATGATTATATTTTATATGACAATTGTGTCTATAAATCGAATTTTCCAAAACTCAGAACTCAGCCAAAAATGCAGTAATTTCAAATCGGAAAAATTTCCAATGATAGTTGTTATTATAGCAATAAAACTGCGTACTCAATTTATTCGGAAATGATGCCTTCACATTTCTACAAGCTTCTGACTAAACCTTTAATACCTTTCTTTGAGTTGATTTTTTCCAATTTTGTCAATTTTGTCTATAAATCGAATTTTCCAAAACTCATAACTTAGCCAAAACTTCAGTAATTTGAAATCGGATACCTGTCCCGTGCTAGTTTTTATTATGGCAACAAAACTGCATACTCAATTTAAAATGTTAAAAAATGTCGATTTTTGATAATTTTAATGATGTAACCCCTTATGGTTTTTGCAAAAATGAAAGAAATTTTCAACATTTTTTTTTCAACCTGACATAGTTAGATTGATTCAGCTGATGATGCTGATCAATAATATATATGATTTATGGGGTCGGAAATGGCGCCTTCACTGTTTTTCAAGCTTCTGACTAAACCTTTAATACCTTTCTTTGACTTGATTTTTTCTATATTTTATATGACAATTTTGTCTATAAATCAAATTTTCCAAAACTCATAACTTAGCTAAAAATGCAGTAATTTCAAATCGGAAAAATTTCCAATGATAGTTGTTATTATAGCAATAAAACTGCGTACTCAATTTATTCGGAAATGATCCCTTCACATTTCTACAAGCTTCTGACTAAACCTTTAATACCTTTCTTTGAGTTGATTTTTTCCAATTGTGTCAATTTTGTCTATAAATAAAATTTTCCCAAACTCATAACTCAGCCAAAAATGCAGTAATTTCAAATCGGATACCTGTCCCGTGCTAGTTTTTATTATGGCAACAAAACTGCATACTCAATTTAAAATGTTAAAAAATGTCGATTTTTGACAATTTTAATGATGTAACCCTTATCGTTTTTTGCAAAAATGGAAGAAATTTTTAAAAATTTTTTTATAACCGGACATAGTTAGATTGATTCAGCTGATGATGCTGATCAATAATATATATGATTTATGGGGTCGGAAATGGCTCCTTCACTGTTTTTCAAGCTTCTGACTAAACCTTTAATACCTTTCTTTGACTTGATTTTTTCTATATTTTATATGACAATTTTGTCTATAAATCGAATTTTCCAAAACTCATAACTTAGCCAAAACTGCAGTAATTTCAAATCGGTAAAATTTCCAATGATTCTTGTTACTATAGCAATAAAACTGCGTACTCAATTTATTCGGAAATGATGCCTTCACATTTCTACAAGCTTCTGACTAAATGTCGATTTTGACAATTTTAATGATGTAACCCCTTATCGTTTTTTTCAAAAATGAAAGAAATTTTCAAAATTTTTTTTCAACCGGACATAGTTAGATTTATTCAGCTGATGATGCTGATCAATAATATATATGATTTATGGGGTCGGAAATGGCGCCTTCACTGTTTTTCAAGCTTTTGACTAAACCTTTAATACCTTTCTTTGACTTGATTTTTTCTATATTTTATAAGACAATTTTGTCTATAAATCAAATTTTCCAAAACTTATAACTTAGCTAAAAATGCAGTAATTTCAAATCGGAAAAATTTCCAATGATAGTTGTTATTATAGCAATACAACTGCGTACTCAATTTATTCGGAAATCATGCCTTCACATTTCTACAAGCT